GTTAATGCGAGACAAACCCAGCTGCTCATTAAAGCTTTCTGGTTTGATCAGAAAATAAAACATTGGTCCATACATCTGAAAGTCCCGAAAATGCATTCTGTCTCGAGTCTACAGCAGGGGCGGAGCGTGGGGGTGGCTTACGGGGCTTAAGCCCGGGTTGTTTTGTCAGAAGCCCGGGGTATTTTGGAGTGTAATTTTTTCATAGTTAGATGTCTGGCTGACAACTGTATAAAACAAAAAGTACACACAATATTCGAAGCACATAGTGCACACTGTGGGAATTTACGATTGTGCGTGAATCCCCCCCTGATATTGGTATGATCCAAGCTCAGGCACTAAGCGACTGAGTGAGAGGGCGGGGCAGCTGCTGCCTGTGAGTGCGCTGTTGGAGAAACGGAGCCAGCCATACTAAGGAGAGCTTAAGTTTGAGCAGGTACCAAAGCAAATCATTCGTACCGTACAAATAATGTAAATATGACGGTGCATCATGAAAGATTGATATCAAACTGATCACTTGACCAATATTATTTTACTTGCTCTTCAAGTGAATCAACAAATGGCGAAATGAAAAGCCGAACAAATGCTATTTTTTTAGAGTCTTAGCTTACGTGTGTTTATTTCATATTTTCAGTTCTTACCCTCCCGACTAAATCGGTTTCAGTTATGTACTGAAATATAAGAATGGACATTAGAGGGTTCTTTCAAAGAAAAAACTCAGGTAAATGTTATTTTATATATTATGCTTTGTATGTTGTTCAGTATATTTCTATGCAAAACAAGAGGAATTTCAGTACACAGCAGGATATTCACATTTGTAACCAGATATTTACACTTTAGGGAGAAAACATGAAATATTTTTACTGTACAACATCAATTTAGAGTAAACTTTTGTTTTAGATAAATATTGAAATATATTTTGAATTAGTTAAATGTCAGAATAAAGAGAGACAGAGCTGTCTATTTTTTATCACTTTCATCAAATTTAGGAGTACATGTACACTAAGTTTATTGTTAATTAATAAGAAACTCCAGACGTTTCTGTTCTGAGCTGAAGAAGCTTCTGATAGGTTAGTAGAGTCCATGTGAGTAAATTGGTGGCACACCTGTGGATGCATATAAGGCAAAACACAGAGCCTGTTTCTGTGACATGGGAAAATCCAGAGATGTCAACCAAAACACCAGGAAAAGAATCGTGGAGCTCCATAAGTGTGGCTCAATTATGAATACAATTTGGTGCCATTTGCAATTAAAAAACACAGATAGTTTCTCTCTTTACTCTTGAAGTTAACAAATATGTTTTTATATTTATCAATCTAAAAAAATAAACATTTACTCTGATTTGATGTTACAATTAAAAAAGTGTTTGTGTTTTGATCTGAAGAGTTTGTAAATATCTGGTTTCAACTGTATATTTGATGATTGTCAGCACAAAGAGGGAGAGAGAGGAGAATGAGGACAGAACAGAGATGAACAAGAGCAGGTGAGACACATGTTAGTCAAATGGTTGTTTACCAAAAGTATCATCGTATCATAGGTCCTCATGTATCTCGTACCTAGTGTTTCTTTTTAGGTTTGCTATTTTTCAAATTCTACATTTATTAAGTTCTGCAGGCTTGTTTGCACAACAAGGCTAAATAATTATATAAACTTTTCTCAATCTAAATATTGTACTTTGGTAGAATTAAAAAAATAAGTGTAGTGCAGGTCTATGATGATTTTTAGTGCTACTATCATCTAGTTCTGATTGTGGTTATGTCTTGGTTAAGTCCTCAGTAGTCCTGCTTTTGAACTGTTGTAGTCCTGTTTTAATTCCGGATCAGTTCTGGGTCTGGTTGAATTGGGGTTTAGTCCTCGTGTCTTGATACAGCCCCGACTTTGTTCTGCCTTGCTGCTTAATTAAAAAACTAGTTTAAGGTGTCCTGCATATGTGATATATATTTTTCCCTATATGAAGTCATTCTTTTTTGAACAAAACTCAAAACAGAGCCCCCCCCCCAAAAAAAAAAAAAAATCCCACATGCATACTACCCTTTAGGGCTAAGCCCCGGGTGTTTCAAATGTCTGGCTCCGCCTCTGGTTGGAATGTGGAAATTTCAACATCGCTTGAAAAAACTGACAGCTAGCAACGTCCCTCTCACCGGTAGGCGAGTTATTTTTAGCCAATTACAAGTTGAATCTGGTAGTTGGGGTTATTAGCTAAGATAGCGTCATCAAGAAGTGGCACAACTAATGTGTCTATGCGAGGTGATTTGTGATGTGCATCGCTGGCCCGGAGATGTTCAGTAAGAACATCTCCTGGTTTCATCCTCATGTTTCCCTCTCACCACATATCCAAACCAATATCATGACCAGCAGCTTTACAGCTGTAGAAGAGGCAGCTGTGCAGCAAAGACACAGAATAACTCCAGCTTTGTGTCTTTTTCATTGTAGCTGAAGTCCGGGACAAACTGTGTTTCTTTTCACCTAAATACGAAACGCGTAATATTTTCTCTGAATACGAGACGATTCCGTTTTTTAAGGGGTGGTTGGCAACTCTACTAACCTTATGAATAAAATAAAGTTCACTATCAGTAACATCAAAGCACCCACCCAGCTGTATATAAACTCCATCATGCTAGCTAGCACGCAGTACAAGTTATACACCTAAACTTGGTTTATATCTGACCCAGATAGACTGCAGGTCATAACTTCTTACCTGAAGTTCAGTTCACCTGATACTCCTCCTCCTGCCTCCCCTTTCCCTCATCCACCTGCTGGCCTCTGTGGAAGCTCCGCCATAGCCACCACCAAACAACTGAGTCATTTTTACACATCTGCCAGCAACTGGTCAATCCTCCACCTTTCATTGTTTATACTGTTACAGAAATTAAAAAAAAAAAAAAAATCATCGGGCACATATGGTCGTGCCATCAGTGTTAACCCTTTGCGTGCCCAGAGTTGCCGACCCCTGGGCTAAATGAATTGGGTTTCTGCAATGTGATTGGCCGATTAAATCTCCTATATCTTAACAAGCAGTTGAACAGGTGTATCAAAGTGGATGATTTCAAAGTGCATTTGTTTGCATCAAGAGTAACAATTATGAACACACACACGGATGGTCAGCTTCATCAATATACAGTATTGTATATAGTGTCGTCAATAAAAAGTATTTTTACTTCCTGATATTATTATTTTTTGTATATTTCTCACAATTCATGCTCCAGATCATAAAAACAGATTTTAATATTCAAGGAAGATAACCCAACTATATAGAAAGTTCAGTTTTTAGAAGATTATTTAATTTATTAAGGTATAAAAAGTTATCCAAACCTTCCTGGCCCTGTGTGAAAAAGTATTACCTCTAAACCTAATGACTGGTTGTGCCACCCTTGGCACCAAGAACTGCAGTAAAGCATTTGTAATCACTAGTAATGAATCTTTCACATCGCTGTGGAGGAATTTTGGCCCACTCTTCTTTGAACAGTTGTTGTTATTCAGCCATATTTGAACATTTTTGAACATTAATGTCCTCTTTATGATCTGTATAAAGTCTGTCAGTTGGATTTGAGTCCTTACTAGTAATTGGAGCCATTCAGAGGTGGACTTACTGGTTTATTTACGATTGTCCTGCTGCATAAACCAAGTCTGCTTAGGCTTCAGGGCACAAACTAATGGAGGGATATTCTCCTGGGAGCAGAATTCATGGTTCCGTCACTTACAGCAAGTCATCCAGGTCCCAAAGCAGCAAAGCAGCCCCGGACCATCACACAACACCTCCATGTTTGACTGTTGGTTTGGTGTTTTATGAAATGCCGTGATGGTTTTGCGTCAGATGTAATGGGACTCCAATCCTGTCTCATCAAGCCAGAGAATTTTTCATCAAAAGTCGTGGGGATCATCAAAACATTTGATGAAGCCTTTTGCCCCCCGTTTTGCTCAGCAGTGGATTCCATTTTTCAATCATGAACCTCCTTGGAAGGTTCACCACTTTTCCAGTGGTGATCCAGTGTAGCGATCCATCCATCCATTCGCTTTTGCTTATCCTTTTCAGGGTCGCTGGGGGTGCTGGAGCCTATCCCAGCTGTCATAGGGCAGCCACCGTGCTGCCCTCCAGTGTAGCTAGACAAACTGAAATCAGCTAAAATGTAGTTAATTTATGATTTAAAAACTGGGGGGCAATCAGTTTTTCACATTGTGCCAGCCTGGTTGGGTTAGCCCTTTTCCCTTTTTGAATGAAATCATAAAAAAATTGCATTTTGTAATTATTCTGGTTATTTTTGACTACTATTAAAATTTACTTGTGTGACAAATATGTGTAAAAAGAAAAGAAATCAGAGAAAATACTTTTTCACAATAAAAGAGGGTTCTTCCTCCCTACTATCACCAAGTGCCTGGTGTAATAGGAGATCATTCAGTCACTGAGTTGGAGTGATTATCTCATAGCAAACAGCATTTTGTGAAGCTGTTGTGGCACTGCGTGAATCATTTGCATCTGTACAGAACTGTATGTACAACAAATACACTTCATCAAGGAAACCGGTCAGATAATTGATCAAAAAATAGCAGCATGAAGATCTTGATCCTAGATTTGAGTTTGCTCAAAGTTATTTCTGGCTAAGAGGAACAAACATGTAGCCGTCAAACTGTTGAAGGGAGTAATATTTGAATACCACTATTTGCATCTGCTTACTGGAAGATAGAATAAGCAGATAACATACATCCTTTAGCTATATCTCACTAAATTATGAGCAGATTTTCAGAGGGAGAGGAACTATTTACAGCAGCTCTGCTATCCTGAGCCTTTGGACAGTACAGATGTAGCATCAATGCCAAAAAAAAGTTCTAAAGTTCTCCAGGTGTTGTGCACAGTCCCATATTATTCCAGCTCGCAGGTCAAAGTTTGACAGCAATACTGCAGGGTAGCAAAGGATGTTTGGACCCAAGCAACTCCAAGACGCAGGAAAAGTCTCTCAAGTGCAGGAAGTGAGGATTGTATTGTTGTTACTCCAGTAATCTTGTTGTCAGAATGGCTTGAAGGTGTGTATTGTGGACTGACAGTGTGGACACTGGTGAAGAACGTCCTTGAAGTTTTTCATGCAGAAAGGGATTATACAGCAGCCGCCAACACAGCTGTTAGAAAGAGAAGGAAAGGTCACAGATCATTCTGAGGCGACTGTTTTTGGTGCTATTAGTTAGTGCTACAGTGTGCCTTGTATCATGTGCATGCGTTCTTAATGAATGAATTTTTTGACATCATCCTGGTCAGGTAGAAGACGTACCCTAACATGGAGCACAAGCAGCACGCTAACCAAGTTGTCTCGCCCACTTTCCTTTGGGTTTGTGTGATGATGAGCTCTTTGCAGGTCGGACACTGGGTGAGCCCGGCGTCTCTGCACAGAGTTTCAACTTTGCCGGGGAAAGAGACAAAAAGAGAGAAAAACTGGAATGAGCTTAATTAAAAACCAAAAACAGCCCCCTGGTTTTATTCAAATGCAGGTGTCGGCGTGTTCATACAGTACAGCTAGTAAACAGATGCATTCAGTATACAAGGAAATATTTCATTGCAGCAATATCTGTCCAAAAAGTTACACAATATTCAAAGAAAGAGGGAACCATGTGTCGACATATATAAACACTAGTTTGTGTCGTAGAGGAAAAGTGTAACACACCTGGAGCGATGTCATCTTCTGGTGTTTCTATTGGTATTTCAGGTTCAGTTTCTACAGGTTCTACAGGTTCTTCAGGGTCTTCGGGGTCTTCGGGTTCTATGCTCTCCTCCTGGGTCACCTCTGCAGGCGGCAGCGTGTAGATCCCTCCCCAGGGTGTTTCATTTTTATAAAAACTGGGGTCTGCTTGATGAACTTGGTGATTAAAAAAGAATAAAACAAAAGCAGTTCAAACTTTAGCTTTAAATGGGCCATGTTTAAAAGAAAATCTCATTCTGTCTATTTCACTTCAGCCATGAACGCATTACTCTATGAAGCCCCTCCCCTAAAATGCCATTATCTCCATTTCAGATTACCTTTACATCACTTTCACTGATTATTTTAATATGTTTAACATGAAAATCTGACAGTGTATCATTATATATTAAACACAGACGGACACAAAAAGGGAAAAGAATATTATTTTCTTCATAAACTGGTAACAGTATGAAAGTTTTCATACTTTCAAATCCATTCAATTTAGTTTTGTTTATATGCCTCAAGTCGCTTTACATTGTAAGGTAAAGATCCTAAAATAACACAAAGAAAATAATCATATGACCCTCTATGAGCAGGAACTTTGATGAAAGTGGGAAGAAAAAACTCCCTTTTAAGAGGAAGAAACGTCCAGCAGAACCAGGCTTGGGGAGGGGCAGTCGTTTCTAAAGGGACAGTTTAATCCAACATTTTTCATCTGTGGTTTTCAGTACTAATTATACATCCGTGTGCCTCTCGCTTCCTGTGAGTTACCCAATTTTGAAGATATAAATATGTAAGGAATTCTGAATATACTGTGCAAAAGTCTTGAGCCACCGCTAATTTCTTTATATTTTGCAAAATGGGAAATTAAAGCAATGATTTACTGAAACATGCAAATAACCATGTATATGAGGCAAAAACAGAGTATGGCGAGCTCATTTTAATGAGCTTGAAAGTCAGTCTTTGGCATGAGTGCCTTTATTCTTCAGCACAACCTTCTTCTAAGCAGCTTTCATTTCATTTTTTTAAGTAGTCTTCAGGAATAGTCCTCCAGGTTTCTTGAAGGAAATTCAAAGCTCTTCTTTGTTCTGTTTTCTGTCAAGATGATCCTAAGCTGCTTCAATAATATTTATGATGACTTCAAAGATTCATCACTCCAAAACACCCAATAGCTTTCATTTCCAGTCCAGTCCTTGTGTAATTTGCCATATCTCAGCCTTTTCTCCCTGTTTCTGTTCTTTTTCTGATCAAGTGAAGGGTCAAATCTATCTCTCAGGCTCAAATTCTTTTCTGTTTCTTCCAGTTACCGTTCATTTCCTGTGGATAGTTTTTACCCATGCCACATCTTCTTTTGTCGAAGACATCTCCAGTTGTTTCAAATCTTTTAAATGCGCACTGCACACCAAAAGAGATAGCCCAAGCTTTTTGTTATTTTCTGCAGATTCAAGTAAAGTAATAGGAATGACTTATGTACTAGTAACAAAGTCCCTAAAGATCCTGTTTTGAATTGGTTCTGTACTAAGTTGTCTGTTATAGTTAGGTGTCTTTTTATACTTGAATGTTTGATGTGTTAGTATTAAGTGACTTCTTTCTTATAGAAATGGTCAAATAAAAAGAACTGGGCTAAAAATGAATGAAAAAGCAGCCAATGTCCAAAGAAAAGCGTTGAAAGACCTTCAGAAAGCCATCAAGTCTATACCTCAAGAAAAGCTTACAGGGGCTCCAGTGGCGCAATCGGTCAGCGCGCGGTACTTATAAGACAGTAACCTGCAGAGTGATGCCGAGGTTGTGAGTTCGAGCCTCACCTGGAGCACAAACTTATGACAGGCAAAGGTTGTTGTGATTTTGTGCAAATAACATTGGATTTAAAAAAAATTGCTGAAGGCCGCCTCCCAAAAAAGTTGATTCTGTTCATCTGGAACGAATGTTTTCACTGGGAGGGACGTTTCGTCAGTCATCCAAGTGAGAAAACGTTTCCCAGCCTTATAAACAGTACATTTGCATAATGACTGAAAGTGGCAAGCAACAGGCTTTGGTGTCAGTTTCTTGATCATTAATATTCAAATTTGATTTCAGGGTGCTTTAAATAAAAAACAAAAACAAAAAAGGTGAGATGAGAAAGTGTGGAAATTAAGCGTACCTCCGTTTTCTGTGGGTGTGGCAGTCTCTTCCTCTTTCGACAGCTCCTCCTTTTTAAGCAGCAGCACATTCAGCTCTTTCTGAATGGTCTCCAGCTCGTCTTCGCTGTCATCGTCATCCTCGATGTTTGCTGATGACATCACACAAAGTACCCCAAAGGTTAAACTGACGCACAGTAAGCTGCTTGGTCCATTAACTCAGTGATTACTGCATTAGATTGCTTGTTTTATGAGCTAACACAAGTCACAGAATCGGCTGTAAGTTACAGCCACACTAGTTTTAGATTCTTAGCTTTTTGTGTATGAAGTAAAGTTGCTGTTTAAGTCAACTGCTGATGAATATATGTCAACATGCACCCTAACAATGGTTTCCTTTTATAGGAACAACCACCAACTGTCGGGTTTTTTTAATCTGACTCACTTTGCTTTGGAGCGCTGTCCATCTTTTGCTCTGACTTTTTGGTAAATTCCCTCATCTTCTGCAGGAGGAAACGGCGGTTCTGAAGCTGCTGAATGCGGAACTCAATGACAGCCAGCGGTGGAGGGCCGCTTCTCGTCTGCATTGTCTCCTGACTAGATTCAGGTTGGGGATCAGGGTCAGCTTCGTCCTGCTGCTCCTCCTCTGGCTTTTGCATCTCGCCTGCGTCTGGCTCCATGTTTGGAAGCTCCTCTAAATTCTGATCAGACACCATGTCCAGGATTTGATTCTCCATCCTGGGACAGAGATCTGAATATATAGTCCTCAAACCGATGGAGGTGTAAAAACAAAAGAAAATCCACAGAGAACGCAGCTCAAACCCACGATCCTAATCCAAATTCAAGCCAGCCTGTGGCAAGGTTAGGTTCCAGACTTCCCCTTCTGGTTTTTCTCAGAGATCGGGGAGAGCTGCTTGAAGACAAACATTTCTTCTGTAAAAAGAATTAGTCCACCTTCTGAATGTTTCAAAAAAAGACTCATCAGATGGAAATATTTTCATCATCTGTCCATTCTCACCTCAGAGGGCTCATAGCAGCTTTGCACAAACGTCAGCATGGCTGATAGCTCCGCTGAAATGAAGTAAACAGTGTGCACAAACAAATGAGGATCCAAACGTCCGTAATCCATGCAAATGCCACTAGCTTGGAGCATGTGCAGGTCATATGCTGAAAGGAAAAGTGTGATCATAAGAGATGTTAGAAGATGGAAACAGAGGCTAAAAGCAATGGCTTGCTGGAACTATTCCAGCTAAGCACTGTTCCTCCACATTACTGGAAAACTAAGCGTTTAAATGCAATGCACTGAAGTTGGAAGGTATATTTACCTGCCCCAAAAGTCAGGGTTCCATTTGCTGCATCCCCAGAGTGCTTTAATATGTGTTTATTTTAAACTTTAGGCTTTCTTTGAATAAATGTAAATAAAGTTTACTTATCATAATTTTACTGAAGTAAATATGAAAATAATCTCATTAAAAGATTTGCTTTTGTTATCACATACAAAACGCATTATAACAGACCTGTGTGTGGCAATTTAAGAGTTCTTTCAATTCAATTCTGGTTTTTACAGCGCTAAAACACCCAAGGAAGTTTAAATATTGTAAGGTAAAGACTCTACAATAATACAGAGAAAACTCCAACAATCAAAAGCTCTCCTATCCAAATTTCCCACGTGTGGGACTAATAAAGGTTATCTTATCTTATGAGCAAGCATTTGGTGACAGTGGGAAGGAAAAACTGCCTTTTAACAGGAAGGAACCTGTACATCATCTCAACATAGCAGCAGATCAGCTATAATCTGGTGGACAGTTCAGTTATCAAGCCTGTGGCAAAGGCTCAGTTGTTTTGTAGTAAAGCAGATAAGACGAGAAACATGCACAACATTTTTCAGTTTCATTTTTCTGTAAGCCACGAAAATAGCACAATTCAGTACTGACATAAAAAACAATAAACAAGCAAACACAAAAACACTCACACTCCATATACGTGCACAGAAAGCAAACTGGTAATGGAGTTGCTTTTGCATTAAAATTTGAAATTCATATAACCTCTCCCTTAGTGTATAGAATCAGCACAGGATATCACAATATCAGATCTTTGACTGCATGTCTGTTCTTATCGGTTTCTTTTTGAGCTTTTGCTACTTTTGCTATCTTCATCCTGCTCTCTCTCCTTCTCACCCTCTCTATCCTCCTCTCTCGGGCTTCATGCTGTTACCAAAATGTAAATGTGACAGTGAAACAGAATTTACAACCCAATAAAAGGGCTGAATTACATCATTTTATGATACTATTCTAAGTAAATATAGGCTTCCACTGGCCATTGATCGTTAACATCCTTCTGACTAGCTCTGGAGTCCTGTTGTGCTGTAAACAAATGATGAAGCCCAGTTCGAGCAGGAACTCATTATGAGGTGTACTTTATTACATTAGGTATGTAATAAAGTACACCAGCTCCTTGGCTGTCAGCTAGCAATACGGCAGCAGAACACCTATAATTTCTAGTAATCTAACCTACGCTATCTAACGTTTTTGATGCTATTCAGGCAACAAACATACATAAGCAATGCATATGCTTTTGTGTGTGTTTTGAATCTGCACCACTTAACTGTGTCATGAAATTACTCAACTGCCGCAATACAAGTCTTATGAAAAGCATGAAAAAGGAGAAGCTGGGGTGGAGGTGGGTTGCAAAGCAGCTTGCAGATGCACATTGGCAGGCTTGATTTGCCGTGTTGATGCATAGAAGGGTGGCAGCTGAGCCATGAGCTCATGTACAGCATCCGCCAGCTGACTTTGACTTTGACGCAGGACAGATAAACACAAGCATTCATTTGAAGTTGCCATTCCCTACCATGGAAGTCCGTTATTCAATCTCCTTTTAGCTTAGATTTGGTCATCATCAAAATCTGAAAGAAACATTTGAATTTGAAACATTCAATGTCATATAAATCACATTTTTATTATAAAAGTATTCAATCAGTGCAGCTTTAAGGCAATAGGTCATTTTATTAAATGACCTGAAAATTTGATTTCCAGTACAATTCAACATTATTTATATTGCACCAATCACAGCAGCAGTCATCTCAAGATGGTTTATATTGTAAGGTAAAGACTCTACAATAATACAGAGAAAACTCCGGCAGTCAAATGACAGTGGGAATGAAAAACTCCCTTTTAACAGGAAGAAGCCTCCAGCAGAACCAGGCTCGGGAGTGGCAGCCATGTGTCATGACTGGTTTGCGGATGAGAGGACGGAGACATTGTTAAGAAGCTCAGGTCTCAATGTGGACATAAACATCAAGATTACAGGCGTTGTTTGTAGTAGCGCACATAGATTTTTTTTTTTCCAGCTGCCATTCTTATAAACTCCCGGAGAGCAGGCATTTGGCTTTTCTACCTTTAAAACCCGGAGAGCAGCCAAATGGCTGGTAGGCTTTTAGCTAAGCTTTAGCTTCAGCCAAGTGGAAGCTAAATTGGCTAGTCATTCATATGTAAATTAGGTTGTTACCTGGGAATTCTGGAGGGAGGGGAGTGGGGGTGTGTGGATGAGGGGGTGGGCGAGCTGCTAAAAGCTGTGAACTTCCTTTTGTGTTCGTCTTGATGCATTCTCAATCATCCAGGGAAACAAATCTCCAAAAGTCACCAACTTGGAGTGTTTCAGTTTGCCATCTTAGGGAGAAATCAACACACATGGGTGTATGTCCTTTGTTGCTGAGATTTATTGATAAAAACAGTACAAAAAAACCAACCATTTGTACACATATTTACAAATGGCCTGCTGAGTGGTGCATGGAGCATGTTCATTGGTTCATGGACCTCCCTGAACTAATGGCATTTATTGCAATTGTCATCTTGCGGGGGGTTAACAGGGTTCCATCTCTAAATGACTGCTGGTCAGCAAACCTGGGAAACCCACAGATAATTGGAACTATGGCACGAAACCGCTTCCAAGACATCATGCAACACCTACGCTTTGATGACAAGTCCACCCACAGTGATCGAGCAAAGACTGATAAGTTCGCTGTTCATCAACGGTGATATGTAGACCAGGGTTGTAGCACGTGATGCAGTTGGTGACAAATGATCCCCACACACTGGAAATTGCAGCGAACTCCACCCACCGAATCACTCCATGTAAGCACTCTAGTAAGGTTAAAAGGTTAAAGCCATAAAGGGTTTTCTCATAAACCTTCTCCATGATCTCATTTTCACTTCCCGCTTTGCGGTGGGATAAGGCGTCATCATTTACTTGTTTTTCTTAGTTGACACTCGGGAAGCTATTTGGGTCACCAGGCTTTGCCTGAATAAACAGCAACACACAACAATACATTATATTACTTACATCCTCTGAATGTTGTTCTATGATTTGACCACTAGATGTCAGGATAGAACAAGGAGCTGGACAGGCTCACAGAGGATTAAGTCTTTAGTTTACAGCTTGACGTCACTGGTTCGGCACTTGCAAGCCTCTATATATCCATCCCTCCACCTCCTCTTTCATTTCACAGGACCTTTATGCACAGTGTTTCCTTTTTCTTCTTTCATTTGGTCAGACTTACCTTTTATCCACTTTACACACACGCACTTACCTACCTTCTCAATTGACTTTTTGCTCTGTGTGTGCATGTGTGTGTAAGGGAGATACACACAGATCAAGTAACAGTAAAGCGTGTGTGAGCACCACCTGTCAGGGTATTAGTCATCCAGAGAAGGATACACAGACTCATTGATGGTTAATGAGCTTCATTATACAACAACCAAAACTCCTCATGTGTCACTTGACAGTCGTGTTGCAGTCAAAGCACAAATGTTAAATAATTGGACCCTAAATGCTTCAAAGTAGGTCTTTCAGGTATTATCTGGAGATGAAAGCATCTCCTGCCAGGTCTTAAACATGAGCAGCTAGCTATTGGGCACAGCGGACCATTTAGGTGCTAAAAAGCGAAATAATTTTCTCAAAACTGGAGACCAAAAATAGACCTAAAAATGAGTGACTTTCATGCGAAACTAATTTCCAGATTCTCATCTTTGCTACTCCAACTTTCTGTTTCAACAAATGTTCATGGCTTGCCTGGTATCAGTCAGAATGGACTGCTTTTTGCACTCTCTTTCCATTTTAACTCTCACACTGTCTCCACTCTAATGCATTACTATGGAGCAGAGGCTAGTCACAATTTGTCAATAGCTAATCAGTAGAAACCCAGGGGCAACCTTTGGAGCTTAACGATGAAGCCAACACGAGTTCCTCTAGGAACTGCAGTTCCTCAAGGTCCCACAGGAAGCTGGCTCCAAAAGGAAATCAGTCTGCCATGTTAAATCAGGTTACAGCAATACAAAGGATATTTTTTGTTTAAAAAAAAACAAGAAAAAAACCCATTTTGTCCACTACAGGCACTTTCCCTTCTTCTATATATATTGTAAGAAATCATCCTTGAGATTAGAGCCACCACCATATTGACTGACAGGTTTTCCAATGCAGGCAGCTGATCAGTGCTAGTAATGCATTAGCTTTGTGCACTGATCAGCTTGTTATCCTGCCCCCAAGTGTCCAAATAAAAATGGATTACTGCAAATCTAAAAAACAAACAAACAAACAAAGATTCAGTTTGACAAAAGGACAATCACGACAGCTACGGAGTAAGCGGCAGGTATTTATTTCCAAAGTAGCATGGCTTAAATGTTTCAAAGCAGCAAGAGTATAGTAAAGAACACTATAATTAGTAAAAGGCTCAACACAG